TTTCAATTTTTTTTTCATGCAAAAAAAATGTTTTTTTTTTTTTTTTTTTTTTTTTTTTACTGCATGGACATTTTTTATTTTCACTGCAAACCATTTTTATTTAATTTCACTTTGGGATTAATAAATTATTTTTGGATTTAATCTGTAATGTAGCAAAAACTGTCTTGTTATAAGTGAAATAATCTTCTGGAACTAATACTTTCTAAAATCAATATTAATTATTTACTTAAAACAAGCTTCTAGATCTTCTTGAAAAGCTTAAATAATTCCTTTATATTGATGGAAAAAGTACTAGTTCCACTGGCAGATTATTCCACTAAGAGCAAGACATTTTCCCCCCGTTAAAAGTGAAATAATCTCAGTGGAAATAGTCATTTTTCCACAAATATTAAGGAATTACTGACATAAAACAAGCTTCTATTTCTTCCTGAAAGGTTCTTGTAAGTTAGTTTTGTCTAAGATATTTACACTAGAAATTAAAACCAAAATTACTTTGCATGTTATGCTTTTGCAGTGTTGGCAAACCTGTGACAACTTTAAATTGTCCAGCGCTCTAGAAGCCTGTTTTGTTGCCTAAAAATAAAATATGTGAGATTTCCAGATTACATGCTCCTTTACTTCTTAAGAAGCGTCTCATGCTTGCAGCAGCAGCCGGATGACCTCCAGCTGAATGTGCATCCTCTTCCATGTGATTCTTTCATATAGTGAGCCTTCACAACTTTTCCACCACTTCACAAGGACGCCCCTCGTACATTTGGAGACCAATGTGTGGCCATGAAGCTTTAAGGCATGTAATGGTGTAAGGTATCCAGAAAGCAGGCTGTTGTATCGCCTCTGACACGGTTTATTGTTGGGGAAACCAGTGAGGAATGTGCGGAGAAAAGCATGACCCAAAATTCCCAACACAGCCGCTTTCTTTCAGCTCCTATGGGGCAAATGCCGATTCCCCTTCTTCCTCGCTCCCGTGTTCCCACGGCGGACTCAGTTGTCCAGGAGCTTGCTGGCTCTGTGGTTGCGTGCATGCATGCGTGTTTGCTGGGTTGGGGGGTTGCAGGGAGCCTTTTCACTCCCTGGCTCCCGGCTGACCCGTGAGGTCACGGTGGTCACTCTCAGCGTTGGCTTCGCGGCCCTGATCCCTTTTGTCCTCGGCCGCTCATTCACAGACGCATCAGTGGATGACGATGATGGTGAGCGATGGTATGCAGCCATGTGCTACACTGCAAAAATGCAAAATCTTAACTCGGTATTTTTGGTGAAGAACAAATACCTCAGTACACTTGGAATAAGACAAAACATTTGATGAACAGTATTATTTCCAGTGGCAGATGATTTGAGATGTAGTGTAGGAAAAATGTCTTGTTCTAAGTGAAATAATCTGCCTGTTCAACTAGTAGTTTTTTTCCACAAATATTAATGAATTAGTGACTTAAAACAAGCTCCTATATCTTTCTGAAGAGTTTTTTTCTTTCTTATTTGAAGTGTACTAAATTATTTGCATTAGTCACTAGACCAAAAATACTTGGTAAGATTTTCTCTTCCAGCTGGGAATGTGCTGAGTTTTATTTATGTATTTTGTTCATTGCTGGTCAGAGATCCAAGTTTGTTTTAGTTTTGAAGTGTGCTGCAAAAATACAAAATCTTACCAAGTATTTTTGTCTAGTTTCTAGAGCAAATATTTTAGTGAATTTGAAATAAGAAAAAAAAAACTTTTTGCCAAGATATGAGCTTTTTTTTAAGTCAATGATCCCTTAATACTAATTTAAAAACTCTATTAGTTCTGCTTGCAGATTATTCCACTTATAGTGTTCGAAAAATGGTTTGTCATAAGTGACAAAATCTGCCAGTTGAACTAATACTTTATTAATATTAAGCAAGTAAAAACAAGCTCCTATATCTTGCTGGAAAGTTACTTGTAAGTTAGGTTTTCTTGATATTTGCACTAGAAACTAGACTAAAAACACTTAGTCATACTTTGTGTTTTTTAGTGTAGACCTGTGAAAGAGAGGTGAGGGGTTAGTCACTGATATTTGTTTATGCATGCTTGCTGGTGCCTAAAGTGAATAGGCTGGGTCCATAACGAGGGGATAATTAGCAGAGATGACCATAAAACTAAAGCAATGAGCTAAAAG